AGACTGATTGACAGGAAACGTGAGAAAGAAGGAAGTATGGGAGGAGACCAGAGCAATTTTTGGTTAATTAAACAAGGTGTTCTGGAGGCAAAACTAAGAGTTTGACTTGACGAGCTAACAGTACACTGGACTATAGTTTGCATATTGAGTGGGATTCAGCTCCCCCCCCCCAATTCTATGAACCTTCCACATACAAGAGGGTCTTCCATAAGAAGCAACCCTTCAAAATGCAGTCCATCTGTTCTTTACGTATCCTTTCTTTTGCTATAATGATCCATTCAGTTATTATGGTCTAACACAAAAGCTTAAAACTTCTGGAGAAAAAGGAATGGATCCTTACAATGCCACCTTGATCAACATCTGAGAGGGCTGCTCACTAAAATCCATAGGGTTGTAATTGAAGAAGATCTGAGAAGCAATCCCTCCAATGATAAGATCTCCGGGCTCATAAAATTCATGTGGAATAGGGATGAAATCATTTCTGTTGCACTGAATTGAATGAGTCTTCAGGTTGGGATGAATGGAACATGTCCTCCACATGACAAGCATCAGCACGAGCAATGACACCAGTGTCTTGAGTCTCAACAAGAAAGGTGGATGATAAATGAAATAAGTAAATAGTTTTAAAAATAGGAGCCAAACTTGGAGGGCAGAATATTCTCCTGTTGTCATCATCCTGGCTACACCCACTTTGGATTGACTTGATTGATTTCCTGCTTTGAAACCTATTCCTGCACCACTGATATCACTTTCCTCACCTGTGTTCTAGGCTCATGCACCACAGTGTTCCAATGCCTGTGCACTGAGGTCTGATAGTAACTTTTAAACAAAAATCTAGAAGGAGGTCACTCTGAAGGAAACAATCAGCACCAGGTGAGGTCTGCTCAGGTTAGTTATATTGGGTTCAATCTGGTACAAATCACAGCACCACCAATTAGGGAAGGTACACCCCTAGGGCAATTGCATGCAGAGTTACTTTGGTCTGCCTCTGCATAAAATTGCACTATTCCAAGTATGTACTTCAACGAGCTTCAAGTGGCAAAGCCTATCTTTGCTGTCTGATCAAGCCAATCTATTATTACTAAGCCATTATTGAGGGCTTCATGTGTTTATTTTCCTGTGGTCTCTGCACTCCAGATGGTTCTTGGCAAGAAGTTCAGAAAAATAGTAATCATTATGGGAGAGGAAAGTACCTCCTCCAATTCCAGAAACTGCTGTGGTACCATAGGCAGAACGTGCCTTGTAAAAGTGCCCCCCCCGATAATTTCCTGAATGCTTTCCAAGGGTCTAATTTGATCATTTGCATAATGTGAAAGAGCAGGTGGCAAACTGACAATTACATCAGGATTATCCCCATCCACAGCCACTGTAAGTGCAGCCTGTTGACAGGATAATCATTGCAGAAAATGTATAGAGAAGATTTCTCATAGAGAGTCTCATGAGTGGTCATGAGTGATCACCCTTGAGCTTCATCTGGAACCACTTGTGTTTCCTTGATGGACCTTTTGCTTGGTACATGTTATACACATTCAACAGTACCAAAGAAATGCACTCTCCTGTGAATCTCAGATCCAGCCTGCCTCTATGCCAGTCCTTCTCTTGTCAAGCCACAAACATGATTTCTCCAAAGGGGTTGAAGAATAAACGGTCCTTACATGTGCCTCATGATATTGCAAAATATGAAAGCCATGAAAAGTACTGTTCTCAGCAATATCACTAGGAAATCAAAAGGAAAGATGAAGAATCGGGGCCTAATGTCTTGTCATTTACTCTTCCCATTTTTCCTCAGCCTATCTTTCTACTAGCCAGTGGTGGATGTTGCTGGCTATGCAGAAGCAGTATACACAAACTTGAAATATTGTGCTTAAAAATTGCCAGAGACTCAAGAGCATAGGGTGCTCAATGGAAAAGTCAAGGAGGGTTAATTCCTTTTCACTTGTAAGGATCGAAGCTAGGAATGCCAGTCCATTACCTTCCACTCCTGGGAGGATTTAGAGATTGGGCAAAGCAAGGCATACTGGAGCCAAAAATCCTAACTATAAATATACATTGCTGGGGTCCGAACTGGCGGTGATGGAGATCTTGAAGTCATGGTAGATAACTCACTGACAATGTCAACTCAGTGTGTGACTTCAAAAAAAAAGGCAAATGCTATGCTGGGGATTAGTAAGAAAGGGACTGGAAAAAAAATCAGACAGTGAGGAATTTTAGACAGACGATATAATCCGGAAGAGGAACAGTTCCCAAACAGTTTCTGGTCTGTCATTTCAGACAGAACCGTTTTTGAACCGGTTCCCTACCAGAATATATTTGTAATTTCACACACAAACGCTTCTGTTCCATTTAGGAAATGGGGCTGAAGCGTTTTACCTGTCAACCACTTCCAAGTAGTCTTCAGTTTCCGCTCCCAGTTCCTATACGCTATTTCCCGCTGTTTTTCACCCGCGCGGGCGATCTCCGGCTTTTTTTTAATGGTCATTTTATAGCGCTATGACAGTATAATGCTATAATGTAACTGCCTTATATCAACCCCATTGGAATGCCTGGAGTGTTGTGTTATAGCGCTATAGCGCTCTAAAGCAAACGTTAAAAAAAGCTGGAGATCGCCCGCGCAGGCGAAAAACAGCGGGGGGAAAGCTGTGCAGTCTGAAATGGCAAACTGCTTCAGATCCAGCTCTTTACCAGAAGGTGAAAGTCATGTGTGAAATGGCAGCCCTATACTGGTTTACTCCATGACCACTCAAAAACTGCTTCAAAACGAATTAAAAAGGGTAATGTGAAATTCCTCAGTATCATAATGGCCCTGTATAAATCAATGGTGTGGCCTCATTCGGAATACTGTGTACATTTGTGGGCACTGCAGCTCAAAAAAGATATTGTAGCATTGGGAAAGGTGCAGAAAAGGGAAACTAGAATGATGAAGGGGTGGAACACTTTCCTTATGGAGAAAACATAAAGAGGTTAGGGCTCTTTATCTTGGAGAAACAAAGACTGAGGGGTGACATGATAGAAGTTTACAACATGATGCATGAAATAGAGAACATAGAGAAAGAAGTACTTTTCTCCCTTTCTTCCAATAATAAACCTTATGAGGACTCAATGAAATTAATCGTCAGTAGGCTTAGAACAGATAAGAGGAAGTACTTTTAGTTGAGGGTTTTAGATGAAATAGCGGACATCCTCCTATGCCTGTGATAAGAGGAAGTACTTTTAGTTGAGGGTTTTAGTTGAAATAACGGACATCCTCCTATTTATCTATCTATTGGGCTTCCCCTTCTTCCAGGAAGAACAGACATGCAACCTGACCCCAGCACTATTTTATCTATGTTAATCTCAACCAAGATCAAGTTAATTCATGCCATAGTATTTCCCATTACTATGAGGGGGTGTGAAAGTTAGACACTGAAGAAAGCTGACAATAGGGATGGGCATGAACCTGGAAAAAGTTGATTAATTGTGGTTTGTGGTTTGTTTCAACTATGAACTTATATGAAAGTTTCTGTTTCCTAAATCAGCTGGTGGTTCATTGGGTTACTGGAATGCTCCCCCCCAGAAGTGAGCCCTGAAGACATTTAAATGCCTTCACATTCCACCTCTGAGTTTGGCCAGCCCAAGTGAGCTCCGAGAGTTAGCCTTGAAGGCCTATATAGACCTTTGTAGCTCCCAGACTGGACTCCAAAGTCTTTTTTGGCCTTACATGCTCTTATATGGGCAGGCCCTTATATGGGTAGGCCGCACCTGCAAGTGGGCCTGCCCATATAAGGGCCTGACCACAGAAGGGCATATATGGCCTATAAAAGCCTTCAGAGCCCACTCTGGAATCTCAGTTGAGTCAGGCCTCAGTTGAGTCAGGCCTATAAAGGCCTTCAGAATCACTCTTGGAGCTCGCTTGGGCCAGCCAGACCCAGAGGTGGGCTCCAAAGGCATTTAAATGCCTTTGGAGCTCACTTAGGTGAGGCTGTGGGCCAGTGGTGGGTTCTGATTGTATTTAATTCCTTTGGAGCTCACTTTTGGGTGTCCCACCAGAACCTAAAGTACACTCTGAAGTTATTTAAATGCCTTTGGAGCCCATGAACTTCTCTCCAACAAACCTCATGAACCTCACAAACCTCCGTGAAAAACATGGTGGTTCATGGGCGGATCGTGGGAGACATGTTCTCCCAAATTCCTGATTTGCAAACCAAGAACTGGCATGGTTCATGCTTGAACTGGGATTCATTTGGAAGTTAATGTTCATCCCCATCTGACAGGAATGCAGTTGATTCCTTTGAAACGTGGTGTTGGAGGAGAGAATTAAAGATATTGTGGACCATCAGAAAGACTGATTACTGTAAGAATTCTGCCTTTACTCTCAGTTCTGGACTGTACTCAACTGTTTATTTGCATTAATGGAAACAAAACATTATTGGAAAATAATTTCTATATAATCGTAAGTGAAATGATGTTGTGTACGTAATTCACAATAGGGAAATCCTCCCTAAAGGTATGCTTGTTTCTCAGGTCTATTAGTGTATGATACTAATAACTTACTTTCAGAATGTGAAAATATTTTAATTCAATAAAAGAAAGTGGATTACAAAAGTACACCATGGCCATGCTCATCATTAGATCATGGGTATTATTATTATGTCATGTTACATACTGGGTTGGATTCATCCAGAGATTTTGCTCAATCTTACCCATTTTTTCTTTCTCTTCTCAACATCACCCCACCCTACTGTCTTAAGACATCAATTGCCCAAGATAGGCTGACAAGGGGGAAGCCACAGTGTACAGAGTTTGCATCAAGGAGTTTTTCCTGCATGAAAGTTCAAACCATCATCTAAAAAACCCATTTGTAAGCTATCTTGTTCCTAAAAGAAATGCCACACAAAGTTCCCTATTCACTCATTGTGAACAAATTGAAGAAGAGAAGCAGAGTTCCATGTGGAGGGATATGGACTTCCCAGGTATAGTTGGGAGCATGGATAATTGTACAATTATTTTCATAGCTTACAGGTCTATTTCTCCTGACCATGTTTAGTTATTATATAGTTCTTGCTATTTAGGTTAGGCCGCAGGAGAATTATAAAACATTTAGGGGCAAAGATGCAAAATAATAATCCAGAACCAGAAGACAAGATGGAGAAGATCTCCACAGCTACCATATATTTGCCCTTGGTGCTCAGGTACGATGGAACAAATGATAGCCAAACACTGCAAAAGACCAACATGCTGAAAGTGATTAATTTGGCTTCATTAAAAGTGCTAGGCAAATGCCTAGCAAGGAAGGCTACAATGAAGCTCACCAGAGCCAAGAATCCTAAGAACCCCAAAACACAATTAAACATGACAACTGACCCTTTACTACACTCTATCACTATCTCCTCAGCCAGAGAGTGCATTTCAACATTTGGAAATGGAGGAGTGGTGCATAGCCAGATGAGGCAAATAACTACTTGAATGAGGGAGCCTGAAACAACAATGGGGAATGCAAGCCTTTTCCCCACCCATTTCCTCATGCTGGATCCTGGCTTGGTAGCCATGTAAGCCACAACCACAGTCATGGTTTTGGCCAAGACGCAAGAGACAGCCACTGAGAAGATGAGGCCAAAAGCCACTTGTCGAAGAGGGCAGATGACCGTCCCAGGATGGATAATGAATAATAGTGCTGAGAGGAAACAGAGGAAGAGAGAAGTTAGTAGAATGTAAGAGAGACCACGATTATTGGCTTTGACGATGGGAGTGTGTTGATGCTTGATAAAGATTCTCAGTGTCCAAGCAGTGATCAGAGCCAAACCACAGGCCAAAACACACAAAGTGATGCCCAATGTTTCATAGTATGACAGAAAGTTTAAGCGCTTGTGAAGGCATTGATCTTGGTTTTGATTTGGATACTGGTCTTCTGGGCATTTGAAACAATCGTCCATATCTGAAAAGAACAACAGAACCCTTTTCAGTCTATCATAACATCACTGTGCCATGCTCATAGAAGCAATAGCAAGAGGTAGTCCTAATATTGTGAGTTGGATTGATCTTTGTCACTTGGGGAAAGGAAGAAGGGTTTCCCCTTTTGTCACCCAGAAGGGTATGCTGTGCTTCATGGGACCTGTATAGATGATAGCCATGTGTAATGGGAACTGCTATAAAGAGGTGAAACATGTCAGTATTCCATGTTAATGTTAAGTCATGCTGTAGATCTAAGGCATCTAACAGACAGGAGCTGACAGCTCTAAGTGACAGAGGAGCTGGCTCTGACCAGTTCTGGCTGGCTCTAGCCAGAGCTAATTAACTCTGAGTAAGAGTGACTCAGCATTGGCCCTGATTGGTCAATGGTAGTATAAGTTCAGTGAGGAACTGTACTGTTCATTCCTTATTGGAATCTGGTTGTCTGCAGAGCATTACGTCACTCAGTGTAAAGTATTGGTGGAGGCTGTGTATAATAAACTGTAAATACTTGTACATAAGCCTGAAAGACTCCAGTCTTCATTGGATAACCTTGCACCCATGCCCTGTCTGCAGTGGGCTAACACCGCGCAACACTGACAAACCAAACAAGATTTAATGAAAAATCTGAATGGCTGGATTAGCTTTATGAGAAGTATTTTCCTTAAATGTCCTCAAATGATGTTATAATCTATACATACAAAACATGAGACCCTTGATTCTAGCAGAAGAGGGACAAGATAAATGGTATGAAGAGAAGCATAGTCTTGACAGAAGTATCATGCCCCCCATAGTTCCTGGATTATCAGTAAATAATATTTCTTGAAATGGTTTTAGTAGTGATCATATGTTCTACTGAATGACCAGGCACACATTATTGCTACCCAAATTACTCTTGGCATTGTTGGAAAGTGCCATTAAGTTGCAGACATCTTATGGTTACCTTGTAGGATTTTCATGGCAAGAAACATTCAGAGGTGGTTTGCCATTACCTGCCTCTACAAAACAACCTTGGACTTCCTTGGTTATCTCCCATCCAAATGCCATCTCAACCCTGTGTGGGCAGCGAGTGCGTTTTGGGTCACGCATGGAACCAAATGGACCCTATCCGGCTTCAGATGGCTCTCCGGGATCTGATGCCCCGTGGTGGCTCATTAGATGAGCTTGTAGAGGACTGACATAGCCAACTCTCTGTATCCATTAACGAAATCACTCCCCGATACCCTCTGCACCCTCATTCTAGGCTTGCTCCATGGTACACTAGAGAGACAGTGGTGCTCATGACGAAGCTACAAGAGCATCCTATAAGATGTTTATGAGATCCTATGAGATGGCAATCAAAGCTGCAAAGAGAGAGTATTATGCAGCTATGAGTGCATCTGTGAGCACACTTGACCAGGGAAATGCTGATCACCACTTTGGGGTCAGGATGCAAAGGGGGGAGGCAATTGTGAATTGGACTAGATGACCCTGGAGGCCCCTTCCAACTCTGTGATTCTTATGATGAGACTGTGAGGGAGCTCTGGAGGCTTAGCCAAAGGCCTTGTTCTTTGGAAGTTATGGGATACATCTTTACAAGTGGATAGAGCATGAGGCTTGTACGTCCTGGCAGTGGGGAGTAGAAAACAAAACTTTGTTCCATCCAATTATCTTTTTAAATCCCCTCTGCCCTTCTAGAGGGGAGATATGCTCATTCTCTGCATGGATATCATCTTTGTCTATGCCAATCCAGTCTGAGAGAGACAACTGAGCTCATCCTTTTATCATGTCATTTTTATCAGGAGATCCTAATAAAGTACATCACTCAAATTACTGCTACTTATCCGGGCAGACCTAATCAATTTTATTCTGGTCTCTTTTTAGCTGATTACTGCAATGAAACTACCACCAAGGTAGCAAGATTTTGTGCCCTGGCCTATTCAAACAGGCAGAAGATCACAACATCTTTTAAGAAAACACGTTTTAACAATTTTATTTACTTAGCGCATATTCTCATTAAATGATCAGGTATAGGCAGATATGTAATCAGTGAATTTGCTATGTATTAATCAATGTTCCCTCTAAGCTGAATTAATTTGAGCTAGCTCACAGTTTTATAGCCCCTGGCTCACACATTTCTGTCTTAGCTCAGGAAGGATGGCTCCAGAGCAAACTAATTTATGCAGTAGCCAAATCGCGCACTCACAAATTTAATGCCAGTAGCTCACAAAGTAGAATTTTTGCTCACAAGACTCCACAGCTTAGAGGGAGGATTGATATTAATGTATATGCTGCTTTAAATTCTGATGTTGGATCATAATAATAAACTTGAACTTGATGAACAATACAATATAGTGATACTGAAAGTGATGCTTATAGTGAACAATGTCTCCTACCTGTCTGGTTCGAAATCTTTCCATCTGGACATAAAATACAATCATAGCAGCAAAATGGTTTCCCCTCCTGCTTTTTCTTACTGTAACCGGGGTGGCAATTCTCATTGCAGAGAGAAGAAGGTGGCACCTGAACAGAGAAAGGTAAAAATAATTTAGTTGATGCTTAGTAAGTTAACTTCTTATTGGCTAGAATTAATTAGTGTTGAAATGATTGCCAGTTAGTTTTATTATGAAAGCATAATCCCAAAGTAATAGAAAATATATAAGATATATGAAAATTGAGCACCCAAATGACAAATATAATGCCAAGGAAATATTCCTATTAATAAAATCTATGTTATTATACCAGCATTTAATGAATAGTACCCACATTCTTCCAAACTGTACCACTGTGAGGAGGGAACATGCTAAAGCGAACTCTGTTGATTAATTTGTCATTTCTACCAAATCCAGATCTCTCTGTAATATTGGTTGTATTCTTCTCGTAAACCCCAAGGTTCTTAAAATTACCTTTACAATGCAGGAAAGCATGATAGCACAGACACTTTGACACCATCAGGTTAATGTCAAAAGAAATTCTGCATCTGAACAAACAGTGAATCCCCTAATACTTAGCGGTGATCTAAAACCAGATTGTCTTGCATGACCTCCCTAATTTGCTCTCCAAATCTTGTCAAACTGGTATAAAAATATTAACTTAAAACTGTGCTGTGTTTTAAAGTAGTGTTTTCTACAAAGGCAGTATATTTGAGTCTGTATGCAACTGTGGTGGGGCTTTCAGAGCAAGTGAGGAGCAAAGGTGGTTTGCCATCGCCTTTCTCTTCAAAGTGTTCCTTGGTGGTTGGTCACCCATCCAAGTACTGACCCTACTTCTTTTCAGAGTTCCCTCCCACCAATTTATAAGACTTGAAAAACGAAGCCACTCAAAATGGAATCAATCCCTGATAGCAAAAGAGATTGTCCAGTGTCAGAACTGGAACTGGAACACTTTCTGCTTGTGCTTGGTGTCTTATAAGGTACAATCAGATACCCACCCTATTGAAGATGCTTGGCCACATTATGCGGTTTTCGTTGAGGATTAACTCTTGGTCTCCTGAATCCGGGGGGTTCATCCTTCCCACTTTCTGACTTAAGAAGGACTTGTTTGGGAAATAAACCCAATTTCTGATATCAAAGCCAGCTGTCAGTTGACCATATTCATTGAAAGACACCTTCTCCCCAGCAGTGCTGTTAAATGAAATTCTCCACAGGAAATGATGGAGCTAAATTGTGGGAGGGGGATGAATAAAATTGATGTTTGGTACACAAATGTATGTATGTATTTATTTATTTATTATTTGCATTTATAAATGTATATGGTATATGTATGCATATATAAATGTATATGGTATATCAACGTTTGGAGCTTATTTGGACCCTTCACAAAGATCCTTCGACCATGTGCCATTTCAATTTCACTGAACACAAATCTCTGTTGTCAGCAGAATCCTTATTGTGCACATTTATTTGTTTGCTTGATTGCTTTATATCCGGCCCTCCCATGCAAGCAGGCTCAGGGTGAGTCACAACATATCAATTCAATATTTAGAAAAGTTTAAATCACGGCAACGCAGATTTTGAAAGCAACCCTAATAAGACAATACCTCCCATGGTTGTGGGAATTGCTTCCTGTCTTTCTCTGTCATTGCTCTGAGTCTCCGTCCCACTGAGTGCATGGCATGTAAAGCATGTGCTATGACATAGACGGCAATGTAGATGCTGTAACTTTGGCCGGGCATTTCCGTTTCAGAAAGTGGTCTTGGAAGGTTCTTTGGATTCTTCTTCCCAGAACACAATCCCTGGTTCTCCTGACCAACATTGAAATGTTGAGCTAAACAGTTGAATACCTCCTTCCAGGAGAGCATTGATCGGCCATCTTGTTTTGTAAAGTAAATTCTGAGAAAGTGCAGAAAAAGTTGGAAACCCAGCACCTTGTGGGAGTGAATTGCCAATGACAATGCACCATGGAAGGTTTCTCTTGTAAAACCCAGTGGGAATTTTTCTAGTTGGAAGTCCCAGTGGGCTGTCATGATCCAGACTTTATTTATAGATAACTTTATCTCATTTGCCATTTGGAATAAATACAGCACAGATAGAATGCATGGACTGTTAAAATATGTAACAAATACTTTGGTTTGGGTTCTGTTTAGAAAGAAGCACAATCTCAAATAGTCTCCTGTTAGTTCTGCTATCGTGGGCACCAACAAAATGTTTTTTACTTTTTCCGTGAAAGCAGTGCAGATACCTTTCTTGGAAAGCACTGGGGGCAGCGCCTGTATGAAACCTTCTCCTTTCTCATCATCCGGTGCAATGATCCCGACCCATTTCCATTGGAAATGCAGGAGTAGCTGTGCAATCCCATCATTCTGATCTGCTTCACTGGGGATTGTGCGGTACAAGGAAGGGATCTTGGCTTTATCGTGTTTCTCCCTGGAAAATGAATAACTGATCTAAGGGGGGGAAATCATCCATTATTACATGACAGGAATGGGTTATTTTAGCACATCTATCATCTCATTTAACACACCCAACAAATATAACCATTTCAAATTACATCCCGATAAATATATATTTGCTCCATAAGGCTGGTAATGAAAGATTTACTTGAAAATGTGGTCGTTTATAAGATTGGTCCTCAGAATCTGAAATACCCCATGCAAGATCATGGGGTTGTAGTGGCTAACACAATGAAAATGTCAACCCATTGTGCTGCAGAACTTGAGGGCATCCAATGAAGCTGATGGGCGATACGTTCAGGGTGGAAAACAGGAACTACTACTTTACACAGAGAGTGATTAAAATGTGGAATTTGCTGCCAGATGTTATAGTGATGGCCACAGGAATAAACAAAGAGAGAGAGAACAAAGCAAAGGTCAGGAAGGAGAATTCTTTAAGGGAAAGCTACACAAAAGGAAGCCTTCAATTGCTGTTGGAAGACAGTGATAGAAGGGGAGAAACAAAAATCTTTCAGTAGGAATTCCACAGTTCTAGCACCATGTTCGGTAAGACCCTCTCTCATGTTGCTATCCATCTAACTTCAGGAGGTGAGGCAATCAAAGCAGGGCCTGAGAAAATCTGTGTAAAATTTATGTAAGTTCATATGGGGAAGGCCCCAGGCTTTTGGGGGCAATAGCACCTTGAGTAGTGCCTGCAAACGAAATGGGAGTCATTGTCAATGGACCCAAACTGGAGTGATATGGTCCTGATGACTCAATTTAGTCATCATCCTAGCTGCAGCATTCTGTAGCATTTGACGTTTCCAAACACATGTTAAGGATAGCCCCACATACAATATATTGTGCTAATCTAATCTAGATGTGAACATTATTATATTCTATTTCCTGTTTGAAACATGGCAGTAGTTTAGAACTATGGCCCCGGTCACACGGAGCAGTAGGCACGCTAGAGAGACGGAAGATAGGCGGATTTTCCGGGCACGATCTCACCAACACATCTGGGAAGCGTACAGCTCCCGTGGCTCACCCGAGGCTTCACTACAAAGATGAGCTGTAAAAACTGCCGGGCAAGGGCCGGCATCAGATCACATTTCCGGTGTTAGCTCGTGGCATCCGGCAACTGCCCATGTCCCGTTGCGAAAACTTTTTTTTTGGTCATGTCTCCACGGGTGCACACAAGCACCCAACAGCACATGTGAACACTTGGGTTAAAAAAAAAACCACAACCCCCACGGTGCCACTTCTTTGCCACGCCGCAGGAGTGAGGTATGATCGGCGCCTCCCCCCAACCACGGAACGTCGGCAGGACGTTGGGCGGGATGTCTGATCCAGCTGCCGTGCGGTAGTTCACTCCGGGGCAAACAGCCATGCCTCCCCAATGTGATATCCGGCCCATGTGACCGAGGCCTATGTTTGCATTCCACATGCTGTGCTTTTGTTTTGTTTTGTAATGGGGGAAACAAAGTGTTGCCCTCAAAAATGAAGGGTTCTTTTTGTTTGGGCATTCAGAATTGCACTCCGTCTTCCACTTCAGCTTGAAAAATCCACCCACATACTCAGCTTAACTTCATCTTTGCCCCAAGCCACAGAATGAAAACCTGAGATTCTGAAGTGGGTTATACTGACATTAATTAATGGCAATTTTCTAACTTTGCTTATGTTAAGCATTGCCTTTATTTTCCTCCTTCAGTTCAGCATACCCTACCAGGCAGCCATTATCTAACAGCAAATAGGAAACCCTCTCTTGTATCAGTGAACTCATTCTCCTTAAGTTCTCCTTCTCACTACTCCTCAAGCTGTGTAATTTCAGGCTACCTTTACACGTCAAAATCATGAACTCCATATTGCCCAGATGGTACCTGTGGAATCTTGTAGGTAGTTAAAATGCCAGCCATCGAAAGAGAGGTTTCAGAGTCTGGTCCTCCAATGAAAGCTATTGGTTTCTTCTGGACATCACAACTATAGTTGGGGACATTCCTCTCTGAGCCAGATAGAAGTCTCAGAATGGTCTGATAGTTTCTTCCCTGAATGTGGTAGGCATGTTGGCTGTGGAACCCCAGAGTCACATTTGGTAAAATCTTGGAGTTGCTGTTGATCTCATTTATAGCATATGCCAAGGCCAGGACTTCGGGACTTCCTTGTGGCACAATACTGAAATGAGAAGTGATGCACAGACACACATACTTTTTAATATCATAATCCTATATCATGAAAGAAGATAAAAAGGGGAATATGAACATTAAATCTCAGTTGTGGTGTGATACAAAAATTGGTTGAACATGGAAGAGATGTGTAGGGGAAAGATGTCAAAATATTTAGGGTGTTGTACTGGAGGAAGGGTACTATTGTTTGGAACAATTCTCAAACAACACAGTTTTTTGAAGTTGTAAGTCTTTGAACATTTACTTGTGAGTAGATCCTGTTGAGTCCTCATTTGGCATAATATTTTTTTTAATAGTAAATTTTATTATCATTATTGTGTAGTTATATATTGTTACACTTTAAAATAGCAGCAGCAATGTCAAAATACCTGTGACAACAAAAAGAAAAGGGGCACTGGAACCATATCAGGGGCACTGGAACCATATCCATTTGGCATAATATGAACAGTTCTGGTTATTGTATCATGGAATTGGAAAAAGTACAGAAGAGGGCAACCAAGTATAATGTGGGGGTTGGAGAACCTTTGCTATGAGGAAAGGCTGAAGAGTCTGGGACTTTTCAGTCTAGAAAAGATATGGTCTGGGGGGAAGGAATGTGATGATAGAAGTTTGTGAAATCATGCACAGGGTAGAGAGAGTTGAGATAGATATTTTTTATTTGGAATAGTGCATGTATTCTGGAATAATTTTTTACTTGTGCATAAATATTGTTGAAGTGTGTATGACAGGTGTCTAAGTGACCAAGCAGGAGATGAAAAGACATGAAATTTTTTATAAAGAAGGACATTTGTTATATTTTCTGTTTATAGAGGTTATAGCTTGACATGTGTCTTGAAATGTTGAAAAATAGAATTACTTATAGGGTATAACTTTCCACGCGCTGGGATGATTCCTGAAGTCAGCAGGATCAGGCCTGGAGCTGAATTCATGTATGATTCCACCAATCAGAAGATCTCCTCGCTGATGATAGTACTCGACTGGCATGCAGAGGGGAGAATTCAGGCTGCATGTAATAGAGTGTATGCTACGATGTGCTTGAAGGAGCAGCAACAGGAGACGCAATAGAAATGCCACAGTCATCCTGCTCTCTCTCCATACTAAATCCAACTTTCCTTTAACTGATTCTTATCTACTGTCTGCAGATGAAATACCCTTCTGTCTATATCATTGACTTTTCTAATCAATTGGTTTCATGCCTAGTCTCTAACTCATTAAGTTAAAAAAAAAAAAAAAAAAAAAACAAGGTCCAGCCTGAAAACACTGTACTTGCCTGTAATCTTAGCTACAGTTTATAAAATGTTTCAGAGCTGGTGATAGATGTTGCTTATTATTGCTGAAACTGCATGTGGGCTTTAAAGGAAGATGGATCACAGTAATTTGAGATAATTGCTTGGTTTCCAACCAGCCCCCTAAGGTACTGTGCTCCATGTGACATAGTATGAAGTAGAGAAGCTAATGAATTAATGCTTTTCCTGCAAAAAAGTTGTTGGTGAAAAGATTTAACCCTTTTTGATGGGCTCTGATTCAGCATCCTAGACTTGCCAGGCTCCTGGTGGGGCCTGGAGATCTTCCAGTATTATAACTGATCTCCAGATGACACAGATCAGTTTTCCTAAAGAAAAGGGCTTCTTTGGAGGGGTCGACTCTATGGCCTGTGAGTCTACTGGGTTCCCTTTTTTGCCTAGGCTATATCCCCAGATGGCCAAGAATTTAATTTCCAAATCAAGAATTGGAAATCCTAATCTGGACACCTTCCCTTTCTAACATCTTATATTTATATAATGTAGATGTTGTAACTCTCTGGTTGAAACAGTGTCTATAAGGACACCAAGGTTTTTGAGGTTTTTAAAACAATTTTTAACTTCTTTTTACTCCACTGAAGAGTAAATTTTAGCAGAGCCCAGCAGCTGTGTGGCTAGGCAACTTGCCACCCCAGTTAAGATAATTAATTTGTTTGATTTAAATGCTGGGAGTCTGAGAGGATTCCAGGGGAAGTCTTAAATTTGACCTCAGACTTTGTGGTCTTAAAGGAAATTTTCTCCTGGGAGTCAAAAATTAGTAAATAAAGCAACTCCCTACAGAAATCACCAGATGTATTTTTATACTCTGCAAATAGAGGAAATGAGGCCTCAAAAGCATGTGAGAGAAATGGAAGCGGTCCCATACCTTGTCTCTAAACAATCAAAGATTGGTGGTTACTTCCTGGAAATAACTTGTTCTTCTTAAATTTCTCAAATCCCACTTCCTAACTAGCTCTCATTACTGGCGGATGCTCCTGACAACACGCTAGAAGCTTTCTCCTCGAATGCTTCCCCTAAGACTGTAAATAATGATGCAGGATATTCAGTTCCTTCAACCCATGAAACAATGCCACTGCTGTAAGTGATGCAAGTAAAGCCTTTTGAACAGTGAAAACAGTGAATTTTCTTTGTAGAGATCAGAAGCTGCTACACTCTAAATTAGAGGATATTTCCAGAATGATACCTGGTCCAAGTAGCAATAGGGCTGATTCTGAAGCCACTAATCTGTCTAGATCGGTCAGATTTGTCAGCTTTTATTAATTATTATTTATTTATTAACTAGTCAGATTTTATTAATGGCCCAGATTTTAGTCAGATTTTATTAATGGCCCACGGCCAGTATATAAATAGATACTACAACCATCATTTATAAGAAAGATAATAAAACAATAGCATAATTTAAAATATTCAAAAATTGAATGCACAAATTTAAAACTCTGATAGGATGGTTATGTTCCTGTAGAAACTAGTCAGATTTTATTAATGGCCCAGATTTTAGTCAGATTTTATTAATGGCCCACGGCCAGTATATAAATAGATACTACAACCACCATGTATAAGAAAGACAATAAAACAATAGCATAATTATTTTAGTCAGATTTTATTAATGGCCCACAGCCAGTATATAAATAGATACTAAAACCACCATGTATAAGAAAGACAATAAAATAATAGCATAATTTAAAATATTGAATGCACAAATGTAACACTCTGATAGGATGGTTATGCATATCAAGTTCCCACTGTTCCTTTAGAAACATAGATGGAATGGAATGTTATCTCTTGAACACAAGATTTTGCTATTTTCTTAGTAGTCTCCATGTTCTCATCAGAAAGAAATTGGAGATTTCAGGAACTTTCAGTAATATCAGCGAAACAAAGGTCAGGCAAATTTCATTGTATATCAAGCAGTGAAGTAAGATGTATGTCATCTCTATTGCATCGATGTTACAATGTTACAAGGACATACTCTCTCAGCTTGAGGGATTGAATGGGCGAGACCATATTGCATGTTGCAAAAATTGGAGAAGGATAATTGCTTGATCCAGGAAATGGGCCCGCATAAAAAAGACTCAGGTTGTTCATCTTAACTTTCTAAATTTGTTTTGAGAGACAGACAGCCAGATGTTCCCATTGAAGGCTGTAGAGGGAGAGGATCTGTTCCTGCCTAAGTTGTTGACTGAAGGTGTAGGAGCTGAAGGGTTGGAGCATCTACAGATGGCCTCCACCAGGGCCGGCTCTATCACTAGGCCAGCTAGTGTCTGGCCTAGGGTGCGCCGGCCTTCGGGGCGCCAAACTGCGTCCCTGCAACCCCCGCAACCAGCTGCCGCCACCCTAACCAGGCACCCGAGCAGCAGGAGCCATCGTGCATGGAGGCTGAAAGGCAAGGGGGTTCCTTCCAGCCCACAGAGGTTGCCACCAGTGCTGACATCTCACCCAGGGGCCTCCGACGTGGGTCCTCCCCCTGGCGCCATGGGGGCGAAGAAGGGGGCGAGGCGCCACCTCCAGCCTCCTCTTCCCCAGATGCGCCGGATCCTTCTCCTCGGGGGGTGCAGCAGCCACCCCCCGCCTGCCGGGTTCCTCCTCCCGAGTAGCCCCACTCGGATCTGCATTCTAGGGCACTGAGGAGGAGAGCAGCCTGGGCGAGGCTCCTCCTGGTGGGGGTGGGGGGCTTTCCCCCCTCCCTCTGCAAGCCCCGAAGGGTTTAAGCCCCGCAAGAGTTCCTGCTGGAGCGGCTGAGCAAGAAGCCGTGGGGGAAGGGGGGGCTGTGGAGGAGGAACCACGTGGATCAGCCCAGCAGCCGCGGGGAGGGGTCCTTGGAGGTGAGTCGCCCACTGGGGGGTACCGAGCTTGGAGACCTCCTGGGAATGGGGGGAAGGAAGTGGGGGCCACGCCCTGCACATTTGTGGGGGGGCTGCATCCTGGGAAAGGCCCACATTGGGGGGGCAGAACCTACATGCGGGAGGCCTTGCCAGAGAGAGCCCCTCCCCTTCCCGTGCCACAACTTTCTCCAGGAGGTGGGGGACTGATCTCGGTCAGCTGGAGGGGGGGCGTTGCAGCCCTGGGAGGACCTGAGTCCCGCCTGGAGTGCTGAGAACCCCGCTAGGTGCCAGTTTGGTGTTGCTCTGGATGTGAGATTTGTGGGGAACCCCCCCCCCCCGATTCCCAGGGTCTCCGGCTCCTCTTCGCCCCAGCGGCAAGGGGGGCTCCTCTTTGCCCCAGCGGCAGGGGGGAGGTGAGCGGCAGCTGGGTGACCCTCCTCCCAGCCTGGTTCTGGCGGAGAGGTCTCCAGGCCCTGCCGGGAGGTTGGTATCTGTGCTTGCCTGGAGCGCAGGACAACCTCGGGCCGTCCCTGGCCTCCACTTTATCACAGCAGCAACAGGATGAATATAAACAAGTGCTGAGCTGTTTCCAGCCTCTCTTCTCTGGCCAGAGTGAATTGCTTGTCCATCATATAGAGACAGGGGCATATGCTCCAATAAAGTCCAGTCCTTTCCCTATTGAATGGACCCATGAAAGAGATTGTGGCTACTGAGATTCAACAAATGTTGAAGTGTGTGTGTGTGGTGGGGGTAATCAAGGAGTCTCACTTTGATTGGAAAGCACCTGTGGTTGTTGTGCCAAAGAAGCAGTTGTCAGAGGATGCCCACACTGAATATCACTTCTGTGTGGGCTTCAGAAAACTGAATGAGTTAATGGTTGAGGATCTTATCCTACTCCTAGAACTGAAGGCTTGATTGAGGACTTGGCTGGGGCTGCTTATATCAGGAGTATTGATTTGGTGTCAGGGAACTGGAAAGTTTTGCTGAGCCCTGAAGCCTCTGCTAAGTCTGCCTTTGTGTTACCTTTGGGACATTACCTATTTGTCAAGATTCCATTTGGCTTAAATCACCTTCAGAGACCTTCCAAAGACTGATAACCTGAGTACTGTATGAACTACCTTTTGCTGCTGCTTATCAAGATGATATTGCCATCTATACCCCCCCCCCACTTGGGCAGAACATGGGGACCATGTGAGAGAGTTCTTCCTGAGGATCCATCAACTTGGACTCACAATCAAGGCATCTAAGTGTCAATTTGGGTGTAATTGTGTATTTGGGGTAAATGGTTGAATCAAATAGCATCGGGCCTCATGAGACCAAGATTGCTAGTATTGTGGAGGGGCCCAAACCTTTCACACAAAAAAGGAGGTACAAGCATTCCAAGGCTAGTAATTTTTTATAGAAGATTTGTAAAGGGGTTCAGTGCCTTTGCTGCACATTTGACAAATTTGTGTAAAAAGAGGACCCCTAATAAGGTGATCTGGACCCCTGAGTGCCAACAGGCCTTCATGCTAGAGCCCATCTTAGTTCCTCCCAATTATATTTTTAAAAATCCTTTTGTGGTTTGAACTAATGCTTCAGAGAGGGGCCTGGGTGTTGTGTTACTTCAAAACAGAGATGATGGAAGCTTCTATATGATCCTGTAGTCTGTTTGAGCAGGAAGCTCCTGTCCCATGATCGTACATTTTTTACCCTGGAAAATGAAGGCCTGGTTCTGGTTTGGGCCCTTAGCAAACTAAGGTTTCTGTGTATCTGTGTGGTGTCAAATTTGTTGTGAAAACAGACCATAATCCCTGTTGTGTTACTTCAAAACAGAGATGATGGGAAGCTTCTATCTGATCCTGTAGTCTGTTTGAGCAGGAAACTCCTGTCCCATGATCATACATTTTTTTACCCTGGAAAAGGAAGGCCTCGTTTTGGTTTGGGCCCTTAGCAAACTAAGTATCTGTATGGTGTCAAATTTGTTGTGGAAACAGACCATAATCCCTTGTCCTGATGAAGAGAAACAATGTACGGATCCTGAGATGGGCTTTAAGCCTCAGGATTTTAGTTTTGAAACTGCTCATGTCAAGGCCATCCAGGACATCGTGGCTGACAGTCTGTCCCATCAAGGGGGACAAGTAAGGCCTTAAGAGGGGATTTTCTGTATTTCTGCTTTGATATGAATGTTGCTCTGCTAATTTTATCTTATGCTGATTTGAAAACCTTGATCTACCTCCCTTCAGAGAAGTGTAGTTGCTTTGCCTAGGTACATAAGCTCAAGTCATGGTTTGGGCCATGAATCTCAGCTTTTCTAGGGATGTGTGAGAGGCAAAGCAATCATGCCCCCCCTCAAAGATCAATGTGAATGGTAAAGGCCTTGTTCCATCCTGCAGGTGTTTCTAATTGATCTCTTAGCCTACATAGCCCTTATCATCTTCAAGGCCAGAACTGGGAAAGTGATAACTAGCTTCTCATGAGAACCAGCAGCCCACAGGATGAAAGGCAGGAGGTCAGGAGTGATGAGGTAATTTTCTAGAGGGTTCCAGACAGACTGTGTGTTAATTGGCTATCATAATCACCTGATGTCGTTTGGCCAAAAAAACCCTACAATTGAGATAAGAACCTGGAAAAGAAGGCTAGTTTGGATTCTGATGGACTGAAGGCCTGGGCTATGATATGCTTATATTGCAATAGACAGTAACATAGAGAACGCTTCTGCTGTGACCTTTGACTCTTAAACTTCAGGGTGGTGCCATCTAACACAAATCTTGAAAACATGATAGCTAGTTAAGCTAGCTTTCTTGGTTTTTTCCCCTTGTATATAATTTTAGAGCATTGTGTTGCCAATAGATGAAATCATTGCTTTGACAGAAATTGAATAAAACTTCATACAATTTTAATAAAATAAAGAAAAGGTTTAGTTACTTGTGTACAACACCCCTGGGGACCATTGCTTTGAACTCCTTTAAAAGAGTACCCTAAGATTTTCCAAAATAATAGAGTTTTTGAGAATCCTGGAATGTCCCTGATGTTTCACACTGGTTTCATGTTCCATCTAGCTCCCGCTAATAACTGAGTTGAGATGTTTTGCATGAGCTGGAGTATCTAAGTTGACTTCCCTGGGATGCCTATGCAGTGTATATTGCAGAAGTCTGATTTCAGTGTTACTGTGGTGTGGCTCCAGGTGACCAGACAAGCTATGTCAAAGATAGAGGGCCATCTTCCGGGCGTTTTTCCTCCTTACCATGCTGTTCCTTATACTGAAGCCTCAAAATAATGATGTAGAATTTAAAGAAAAAGTTGCAAGCCAACACTGGAAGCAATAATGGAGAAAATCTCCACAGGTGGCATGGCATTTCCTTGGGTGCTGAGGTAGGTAGGAAAAGGGAACTGTTGAACAGTGTAGAACACTAACAAGCTGAAGCCTAACGTGGCACTTGGACAAAAGCATCTTATGAATATTAACTATCAGTTACATCATATTCCAAGATCTATAAAGAGACTGATGCACAAATACATGAATACAAATCAACAATCTTGTTTCAGAAGATGAAATTAAAATATGAATGAAGCTCCTATAGCATACACATATTAATAAATTGATCTAATTAGTAGCAGTACACATTCCTATTCATTGGTACTTCCTTGGTATTAAATGATGCCTGCTGTTCAGCTCAGGCCTCATAACAATGATGTAGCATTTAGGGGAAAATATGCAACCCAGTAAACCAGCACTGGAGGCCAAGATGCAGAAGACCTCCACTGCTACAACAGACTTCCCTTTAATGCTATAATAGGTGGGAACAAATGGTACCCAAACACTACAAAAGACCAGCATGCTGAAGGAGATAAATTTGGCTTCATTGAAACTATCTGGCAACTTCCTGGCAAAGAAAGCCACAGTGAAGGTGAAAATAGCCAGAAAACCCATATAGCCCAAAACACAGAAAAACATCATAGATGAGCCCTCATTACATTCTAGAATCATTTTATCATCAAGTGACTTCACGTCCGTGTGTGGGAATGGAGGAGAGGAAATTAGCCAAACTGTACAAAGAGCTGCTTGAAGAATTGAGCAGGAAAGGACAATAGAGTTTGCCAGTCTTTTCCCCACCCACCTTCTCACTCTGGATCCTGGTTTGGTTGCCATGAAGGCCAGAACTACAGTGATTGTTTTGGCCAATACACTGGAAATGGCCACAGAGAAGACCATGCTGAAGGAAGTTTGTCGGAGAAGGCAAGTCACCCTCCCCGGCTGCCCAATGAACAGGAAGGAGCAGAGGAAGCAAAGCAGGAGGGAGATGAGGAGGATGTAGGTGAGGCTCCGGTTGTTGGCTTTGACTATGGAAGTATCATGATTTTTTATAAAGGTGATCAATATAAACACTGTAGTCAAAGAAAAAGAAAGAATAAATGACACTACAATGATCCCCAATGGTTCTTCATAAGTCAGGAAACTAAGACTCTTGGAGGAACATTCATTTTGGGCCTTATTTGGGTATTGGTCTTCAGGGCATTTGATACAGTCATCCATGTCTGGAAAAAAACAACAACAAGCAAATCTCAGAATCAAATCAGGAAATTAATGCAAGTGATCTATGGGGGACAACCTCAAGTGTAAGATGGGGGGATTACTAGAGAGAGGCTGTTTTTTGTTGGGTAAATAAGGC